ATAAAGTCAATGAAACACACTCTTTGCATGCTTGTCTTTTACTATGTTCAATGAGGACGGCTAGGTGAGTGGAATTGTTGGTGTTCTTGACTACAAAATTTGGGCTGGTAACTGCCACAAGTATTACACTCCTTTGTCGACCTTTTTTTTTTTTTGTTTTTTGTTTTTTGTTTTTTGTTTTTTGCATCACTTTTTTGCACACGAGTTTCTTTAAGGTTGTGCAAACTATGTTTCATCCACCCAACTCATTATTTTATGGGCACTTGTCCCTTTTCAATTGTATGCTAATTTTTATAGGTATAATAAGTTTTCAAATTTTTCTATAGAACTAACAGTTTTAAGTATATAAGGATGATGTTATCGAAAATAACTTGGCAATCGTTTGACTTGCTCTAAACAACTTTAAGGGTCTACTTGATTGGAGTGAATTCCATAGAAAATATCACGTCTGAGGAATTTGTTTTCTACTTTGGCGGTCTAATACGAATGTAAAAATAGAGTTTGAATTTCAAGGTACAAACATGTTTTTGGTCAATTTCATAGAAAATGCATTCTTGTGATTTTTTTTTTTTTCAATTTACATAAAATTGGTTTGCTTTTTTCACATTTGCAATCAAATAGACCCTAATTGTTTGAAAAATGAGTTGAAAATTTTAAATTGGTTAGATATACTTTTTATTTCAATTTCGTACATCGACGGTTTAATATTCATTTATTATTCTCACATTTCATATTGTGAATAATATTAGGGAAAATTACACAGAAACTTGATTTCAACAATTTGATACAAAGATTTTTCTTTAGGAAATGAGGTGCACCTCACATCCAACCTGTACAACCACGCACCCCACGCTAAATAATATTTTGCGCTACACCCCATCCCCCTACTGCACCCCCACAAACTTTGCCCTTGGTGCCCTCTACCAACCTACTCTGGTTACCGTCACCAAAAACCAGCGACCACATTCCCCTCACACCTCGTGGTGGATTGGCACACAAATTTTGTACTCACTTACACTGTCTATGGTCGTCGTCCCGCTAAGTGGTGATGGTGAAAGATCTCCAACGTCGTTGAACACCATCGAGAAGATAAGAAGCAATCTCTAGCAATCGAAGTGGTACGATCTATGTGTCTATGTGGTGAGATATGTTTGGACGATTTGCAATTTCCGGTGCATCTGTGTTGGGTTGGTATAGGTAGTGGTGATACGATGGTCGTGAGGTGACGTGGCATTTGAATGGAGCTGGAGGTGAAGGTAATGGTGGATTTGAGGAGGTGACGGTGGCTTTGGCCATTTGAGTGATGCCGTTGGTTGTAAAATAGTGGGGTTGGGTCGAAAAGAGCATTTGTGATCAATTATTTAGGTAATTCATAATCAATAAATAATATGTGATATAAAAAATGTATGATTTGAAATTGAATTTTTAATTGTGATTCACAATATATTTTTGTGATGTAATCTTGTGAGATTTGTGATTGATAAGTTACTGAGATCATAAATTGTGTGTTAGTGACATTGACTGTTTAATTAATTAATAAATCACAAAATTATTATCAAATTTTATTTTATAAGTTTCTTATTTTTTTTGTATGTGTCTAGTGATGTATTTTCCCCATAATATTACTACCAACAAGCATATAGTGAATAATGGGCCCGGTTTTGCTTAAGTCCATTAAAAAGCAGAGGTAAAGACAGCCCACTATTCGTTAACGTGGGCTTGGTCATTTGGCTCGATTCAAATCGACGTGGACAAATACAAACGTCCCAACTCTATGGCTTTAAATTAAACTTATGAACCGGCCGATTCCGATTCTTAACGTTACCAATTTCAGATTTCCTGGCGATAAATTCCGGTAGTCTGAATTTCTTGATGGAGACTGTTTCTGTCAATTCACCCATACAAGCTTTCCCCAGTTCAAAGCACAGGTCAAGAAGAGGCTTCACCACAAAGCATCCACAGAATTATGGGATGAATTTCAGTCCCGACACTGCCGCCGCAAATCTCCGATCTACTCCAAGAAGCCGCCACGCCGTCAGTGACATCTCCTCAGTCACCACAGACCCGGTTCAGGCGGAACTTACTTGGCAAATTGTGGTTGGCGCTTTAGGTAATTTTAAATAAATAAATAGATATAAACATTACGAATTCTACTTTTTTATTAGTAATTTAAGAAATAAAAAATAGGTTTAAATTTGTGCAGCTGGTGTTACGCCTTTTGTGGTGGCTGGAGTTGAATTCAGTAAGAGAATTGTAAGTAAACCTTGCATTATTTTGTGATATCTATTAAAATTATTTGAAGTTATACTGTTACATACTATCATTTATTTATCTTTACTTTTATTTTTAAATATATTTAGAAGTGAATATTTTGAATCGAAGGTGTTGTTTGTAATATGAAAACCATGGCAGGTGGCACAGAGGAAATGTAAGGTATGTGGAGGTTCGGGACTTGTTTTGAGGGATAAGAAGTACTACTTCCGATGCCCAGGTTGTGGTATGTTTTATATTAAGTGGAAATATGGAAGAGTAATGCCATTCAAGCTCGTTTGATATGGTTTTTGAGAAATCGAAGAGAATTTTTGAGATCTAAAGCTGCTTTGGAATCTATTTTGTTAATTTTATAAAAATAATTCTTCTAGTTAAAAAGGAGATAGTTTTCGCTAAAAGATCTCCTTACACATAAATCCATTTCAAAAAATAGTTTTCAAACACTAGTTTAGGTAGCTTCTTCTAGAACCTCTTTCACAAGAAATAAAAACCTTGGCGAGGGATTTCGATAAACTTAGAACCATGGTGTACAACCCCCTTACGAGAGGAGGGCCAATGATTTTTTTTCATTAGGCATAGGCCTCCCCTTCTGCGAGGAGACTGCTATACATCATAGTGTCAACCTCGTTGTACGCTTAGCAAAACTCCTCAATGCTATGGGTGCAGGGTGCTTCACATCAATCTAACTATCATTTAAACATGACTAATATCTCTTCATTTTATGTCTAATTTTTAAGAGATACCCAATGGAGAGCGAAACTGATACTAAAAGGGCTGATAGCATTATTCAATATCAAATATTTTTTGTTTGGTTATCACTTCAATACGCAACCATAAACAAAATTTTGCTGTCTTGTCTTTCATATTGTCAATTCCAACATACCGAAGACGCCAACAAAGTGACGCTCATTTCCTATATGCCTATAAAACTTGAGTTTAGTTCAATAAGCCCAACTTTCATTTCATTTTTTGTAATGTTTTTCAGGAGGTTTTCTACCATGGCAATCATGGAGGAGATTCTTTACTGGTTAAAAAGTAAAAGTACTTTTTACGCATAAGGAACATGGAAAAGTGAATGTAATATGCTATTCTTTAATGCAATGTTACCATAAAATAAGCTTATTCCTATAATTCAATGATAGATTTGAAGAAACCAAACATTATATTTACTGTCAACTGTTGTATCTAGACACAGATTCTACTGTTCTGCATCTCCAAATCTGAATCGTAAAGTCCGTTATTTCAATTTTGATCGTGTAATAATTGTCATCATTGGCTATCGTCTTGTTCATTGTATAGACCAATATGGTTATTCTGCATCTGAAACACGCACATAAAGTCGTATGCAAGATATTGAAGCTTTAGTTATTCAATGACAGAAGAACTAAAAGAAGAAAGAAAGAGAGAGAGAGTTTAATTCTATATGATATATATATTCTAAGAACTCAGTTTACAATTTTACGGGCCCATAACTACTCTTCCAATATTTTGAGGACATTGGTTAGAAGGGTGTATAGGCTGAGTCTGAAAGTTATGAGCTTCAACACCATTTTCTCGATTTCCAAACAGATTCAAGCCGCCACCATTTACAATACCATAGCATGCTGGGATTTGTACATTAGTTCTATTCTCGCAGTTAATTCCAACCCCGAGATTGAGGCCAATCGAACTATTATCTACTGGCCTGGGTCTAGAGGTTCCACTCACCTGTGAGTGTCCCGAAAATTCGTAGCTGCTGGTCTTGGCAGTCGGAACGTCATGATTGTGTTTACCCTCGTATGTAGTTATAACAGCTTTTGGGTCATGGGATGCCCTTTCAACATGTTTCCTGACTGGGCAACTGGCAGTTGTGCACTTGTAATAACTCCTGCACGGTAAATCAATGTATAAGAAATACTGCATTTCAGTGCTATAAAATATATTGCAGCTTTGATTGCATGTATATGCACTGTTGAAGAGAATAAAAATTTGAGCAAAGCTGTTCCTATCGAGACTTAAGGTCAACGTGCGAATTAACTAAGCAGGCTTTGCATGGTTATCAGCAACAGGTTGATACAATGAAAAAGGCATCCAAATGGTAGTATTAATTCCTATAAGCTCATCTTTATTCATAAAATTTCATTTGGGGAAAAAAAGCAACTGTTGTGAAACTTGCAGCAGTGAATGGAGTTGATATGTGTAAAGCAAAGGCTCGAGGATCTGAAACAGTTTGGAGCAAGAACGAAAAAAGCTCGGATCATTCTACTACTTCCCTTGATTGAAAAGCTCATCAGGATGCTCCTGATTATGCTTGTCTCAATCCAAGTACATTGCAGATTTGCTAAAAATGGACTAAGATGGAAGGGCACTAGATCTGTTCAACGTGGAAAACTCTCTCATGCTTCAAAGTAGAGGCAATGGAAGATCCAAAGCTCTATCGAAGTACTACAATAAGGATCCCCGAAGTACTTATTAATGTCTAGACCAAATATTTCATATGCAGTGAGCAAGTTGAGTCAATTCTAGGAAAGAAGAATTTAAGCCTAAATGGATTAGCATTTGGAGAATGGGTAAACTGTTCAGATGATCCGAGATCAACAAGAGTTTCCTATACATTTCTGGGCAATTGTTTGGTGTCATGATGCTCAACAAAATGTTGTGCCACCCTCAAGCACAGAATCCAAGTACAGGGTCCTAGCTCACGTCACTTCAGAAATAGTAGCCCGAAGTCTTTACTAACAGAACTTGGAATTAGGTCGCCTTACCGACCTATGATCAGTTGGGACAACTTAGGAGAAACTTTGAGATGCATTTCACATATGTATCTCAATAAACAGATGTACCAACTTATAATCAAACTGCAGATGAATTAACTAACTAAAAGCCTATTAGCTGGTTGTTTTCTCAAGATGATAGGCAAACCCAGGGTGGTAGCAATTCCTGCTCAGCACCAGAAGATTCCAGACTTCTAGATTTTCAGCTCAGAAAGTCTGAAAGTTTAACTCACATAATTAATGGATTGCTAGAGCTGATTTCAGTTATTTCCGCATGGTAATGACTATTAACTCGGATCACCTAGTCTGAGTGATTTCAAAACCTGGTGGCTTGGATTTCTCTCTCTCTCTCAAACCTTTGGTGTATTTTTAAGCAAAGAACTTGTTCTTCGTTGATGATTTCTTTCTCTTCTGGTAACAGTTGGAGTCTTTATATTAATTTTACTTTAACTAAGATCAAACCATCCTATTATCTGTATCAAAGGTCCACAAATAAAGTTCATTTTCCTAAAATGGCCTCTTTTTTTCCAAAAATACCCTTGGGTGAGGTAAATGATGTGACTGACAAGGATTATTAACTATTATTTTTACGACAGAATTGTGAAAGCTACATAAATTACACATATTTTCAAAATTTACCTAAAATTCTGTACCAAGTCAGGAGCATTTATTTGTGTACGAAGGGAGTACAAGTTTAATGTAATACACTGACTATTGATACAAACACAAGGAAAATAAACAATCGAAGGAAAGAAAAATGAATAAGAAATGGTTCTTATTTTCTTTTTATTTTGAAGTACTTGTTTAAGTTTAATATATTTTAAGAAGTACCATTTCATTCTCTAATGGAGAAAGAACTGTTACAAATGAGGGCTAATTTTATTTTAAACCTTATTTCTGTCCTTTCCCTTTTCTACAACTATTCCCAGGATATTGATTTGTTAATTTTAGGAAAGATGAGGGTCTGTGCGAAAATTCTCTCAAATACATGGTATGTTTGATACCGATGGTAAATAAGTGAATTGTCTTGAAACTTGTCGTAGTTAACTAGGACAGCAATTAAAACTCTTAACAGACCAAAACACAAGCGATTAACTAGATATTTGCCTAATCAAGCATCGCCATTTTATCGCAACAACTAAAAGGGGTAATATTAGAAATAATACGTAGTGCACAAATGGTGTTTTAACTCAATATCCAATCTTCTACCATGTCATTAAACATAAATTATCACACACCTGGGATTTGGATTGCCTCGGACTACTTTCTGCCCATATTTCCGCCATCTATACCCATCATCCAGTATATCAACCTCACTCATAGTTTGAACAACAACTCGTGGTTCACGGATGGGCTTAACAACTGTTGTAATATCAAGACCATCCTCCATCTTCCTGCTCAGATTTTTAAGCAATCGAAACTATTGTTAAGATAAGAATAGTAGATCTTAAGCATTTGTAAAACAGTATTACCTTCGCTTTGAAAAGGGATCATCTTCATCAATGTAATCATTAGTGCTGTGAAATTGTGAATCTGCACCTTTTAGACCATCCTCATTTACTTGATGAGGAGACGGAACTGGCGAGATATTCGGGTCCAAGTTACCAGTCAGATTATAGGAGCTCAACTTGTCTTCGACAAAGTTAAAAAACATAAAAATAAAATAAAATAAAAATAATGAGAAAATATATTGCACTTGAACGTGAACAAAGCAAGCAAGCAAGACAAGACTACCAAAAATTTGCACCATAACAACAGAGGGAAAAAAAATTTCATGAGTGCCAGTTTGGTTACCTTCTTGACCAGTCCCTGTTACATCCTTGTCCATTTTATCCTCATGAACGGACATAAAGGCGCCAGGATTTTGTCTACGGGCAGGTACAGGTTTTTGATGATCATGTGAACCCTTGTAGACAATTTCTGTTATCTGTCCACTTGGAGAACGTTCAAAAATCTTTTTCACCTCACAGCCTGGATATGTACATTTGTAATAGCTTCGAGGAAATTCACTTCCTTTAACAAGTTTCTGCCCATATTTTCTCCAGTTGTACCCGTCATCTGATGTTCTCTCAGCTGTTACTGGGACACCATCTTTATGATCAGAAGGCGAAACTTGGATGTCTGTATTAGAGCAATCTCCCTGGTTTAATTCCTCAACAGTACCACCAGACGATGCACCATGTGTGCCAGTAAGTATAGATGGTCCAAATACTTTTGAACTTGGCAGCTCACATGTAGCCAGAGATGAAGGTGCTGGAGGCTGCGAAAAGCAGTGATCTTCAACTTGACTGAAGGGTCCATTCTGCGGCCGGTTCAAACTTGATGGGATCTTTGACGCAATAGAATGATGCCCAAAGTCAGTCCAAATATTCATAAAAAACATGGTTCAAAATTTGCATTTTTTCTATGATCATCGAGAATTAAATGAAGCAAATAGTGCGTGATTAAAAGGCTCTGAGTTGAATTTCCTGAAAACCTATCCAAAAAAGTAAAAGTTGAATTTGAATTCATCTTGAAATGCCAAGAATAGAAAACATGAAGTTTTATCCAGCCATCTACTGACTTGTTCTAGTGAGATCATGTCGTTCTTGTCTTGTGCATGGAATCTTCTTTAGGCCCACAATAACATAACTCAACCATCCCTCAATTAATTTTCAGTCGGTGCTACTTCCAGTTCGGGGTGTATTATCACTTCTTATCCATTCTAGCATGACAATACAGCCATCTTAACATCTTCATTTGCGCTACATATATCTTATAAATATTTTGTCCTTTATTACCCAAACATTCAGTACTATAAACCCCTATCAACCAAATAGCAAGTTCTAGGGTATTACCATTAGTCCTTTGGATGATAATCTTGATGCACGACTAGATCCAGCATGAAAATTAAACTCGAAAATGCTGGGCATTCTTTCATCACTACTATTGCCACCAGGACATTTTTTTCGCAATGGCAGTGCCGAAGTTTCACCATATCCTTGCATCAAATGAGGCTTCAAAAAGGAACCTGTGGTGGGAGAAGGTTCTGCCTGCAAAATGACAAGGATTGAGAAGAAAATTAATGCTTAGGGAAATATTTCTCCCAGCCATGAGTAGAAAAGAGAAAAATAAAAAATTGGAATTAACTTTCTACTACACTTCAAACGAGATGTCTTTCTCAAGTTGTCTTTTTTTCCTTTAATGTCTGAAGAGAATTTTTATTCTCTCTGCATATAAAGAAGATGCATTTATAAACAAGGCAATCAAATTTTATACCATAAAACCTCAAAGGTCATCAATTTTCAAGTTCCAATGACAATGTAAAACTTTGGATGACATGCTCTATAGCGACAGATGTCAGGCATGATCCGGACAATCGGGACAGCATAAATTCTTCTGGTGCGGCATTCATAGAGCTCAATTATTTGAAAGCAATGTCTTTTTCAACAGGGAACACCACAAAGGAAAAATGACAAGCACCAAAAAAGAAAGGAAGATTCATTTTGTGAAGAA